CAGGCTGGCCTCGAACTCACAGAGGTCCGCCTGCCTCTGCCTCCCGAGTGCTGGGATTAAAGGCGTGCGCCACCACCGCCCGGCCTTAAATTTGACAATTTCTTACATGGATGCAATGTATCTTTAGCACAGTGGTCCTCAACCTTAATAATGTTATGACCCTTTAATTCAGTTCCTAATGTTGTGGTGCCCCCAGCCATAAAACTATTTTCTTTGCTACTTCACAGCTGTAACTTTGCTACTGTTATGAATCACAATGTAAATATCTGATATGCAGGATATCTGATACGCAACCCTTCAAAGGGGTCACGACCCACCGGTTGAGAACCACTGCTTTAGCATCTCAATCCCTAACTCCTTGTTCCCACTCCTCCCAGACACCCTCCAACATGTACTGCTCTCCTACATTCATGTATAATTTTTTAAATGTGAAAGCAGCAGCAAAACACTCTGCACTTTAAATTTTTTTTTCATTTTACATACCAACCACAGTTCCCCCTCCCTCCCCTCCTCCTGCTCCCCGCCTCATCTCCCCACCCCGCCCCTATCCACTCCTCAGAGAGGGTAAGTTCTCCCCTGAGGAGTCAGCAGGGTCTGGTACATTGAGTTGAGGCAGGACCAAGGCCCCTCCCCCCTGCCACCTACATCAAGGCTGAGCCTTGGCTGTCCCGGAACTTGCGATGTAGACCAGGCTGGCCTCCAATTTACAGACATCTGCCTGCCTCTGCCTCCTGAGTGCTGCGATTAAAGGTGTGTGAAACCAGGCTCTGCTAGCATTTTGCTTTAGAAATATTACTGTTTGTGTCTTTCTTTGAAGTTTCCCATTATTGTTTTTAGTTAGGAGATGATTTAGTAAACTGATTTTAAATATTAGTTCCCATATAAGCCTTGTGTGCTTGGGAAAGCTATACACCTCTCTGGGTCTCTCTTTCCTTATGCCTAAACTAGAGCTACTATGGGTCACTGTTATGAGGGTTAAATGAACTAATTCTTTGAAGTTTCTGGCTTGTTTGTTTTCAGATATGGTTTTTACTGTGTAGTGTTGGCTGTCCTGGAATTCACTGTGTAGGCCACACTGACCTCAAACTTGCAGTAATATTCCTGCCTCAGCCTCCTGAGTGCTGGAACATTTAAGTTCTATGATGACATTTCAATGTATAAGGCAATCATGTCCTGTTATTACTGTTTAAATCTCATATGGCTCAAAAGAAGGAAAATGACCTGATATAGTATCATAGGAACAAGTTAGGATTTAGAAGGATCTACACTGTAAATCTTGGTCCTTGTTTGTGCTTATAAAATTAAGTTTTTCTTTTCTTTTGCTTTCTTTTTTCTTTTTCGAGACAGGATCTCCCATAGCTCAGAATAACCTTACTAGGTAGTCACAAATGTCCTTGAATGTTCCTCCTGCTTCCAACTCCCAAGTACTGAGATTGCCTGCATGTGCCACCGAGCTTGACAACACTATTTTGTGTACCACATTTTTTTTCCTTACAGCTATTTATTTATTTATTTATTTATTTAGTGTATAGGGAAGTGTATGTGTGTGTTCACAGAAGCTGCATGCTATGGTGTGCATACAGAAGTTAGAAGACAACTTTTGGAATTTGATTCTTTCCTTCCACTATGTGGGTCCTGGGGATAGAATTCAGGTTGTCAGGCTTGGCTGCAAGTGCCTTAACCCACTAAACCATCTCTCTGACTCTAACTTTGTTGTTTTTACAGTTATTTAGTTAGTGTGTGTGTGTGTGTGTGTGTGTGTGTGTGTGTGTGTGTGTGTATGTGTGTGTGCATGCCATGCCATGGATGTTGTCTTACTTATGGTTACATTGCTGTGAAGAGACACCATGACCAAGACAACTCTTAAAAGAAAGCATTTAATTGGGGGCTTGAGTACAGTTTTAGAGGGTTAGTCCATTATCATCATGATAGGAAGCAGGCAGGCATGGAGCTGGAGCAACAGTTGGGAACTTTAGATCCTGATCCACAGACAGAAGGCAAAGAAGGACACTGGACCAGGTGTGGACTTTTGAAACCTAAAAGTACAATTCTAATGACACACCTCATCAAACAAGGCCACCCCCATTCCAAGGAGAATATATCCCCTAAACCTTCCCAAACAGTTCCACTGACTGGGGACCAAGCTGTCAAGCACATAAGCCTATGGGACCTTTCTCATTCAAATCACCACACATAGGTCAAAGAGAGTCAGTTCTTATCATCTCAGTTCCAGGAGTCAGACTGAAGTTGTCGGGTTTCAGGGCAAGTGCTTATCCCTTCTGAGCCATCTTGTCAGCCGCCAGCATTGTTTGAGATACTGTCTCATTTAACCCTGGCTGGCCTCATTAGGTAACTGAGGATGATCTTTAACTTCTGTCCTACTGCATCCACTACCTGAATGTTGGGATTCAGTGCCAAGGAGTCATACTCAGAGCTTCTTGCATACTAGATAAGCTCTGTACCAAATGAAATGCATCTTTAACTCCAATGCTCATAACTATTATGAGCTTCAATTCACTTTTTATAAACAGAGATTATATATATCTGTGAGTTTTACTGTGAGACTTGAGACAATAGAGAAACAACCCATGTGTTACATTTCCAGTCTCAGCAATAAACAGATACATGCATATACAAACTTGCCATTTGCTAGTACTGCTGGACTTAGTGTAGCCATTCTCCAACTAACATAACAAATGAACATTCATAGGTTCCATAAATGTGGGGGACACACCCCCACCTTTTCCCCCAGGGTGCTCTTGAGGAGTGAGGGATAAGAGATTTAGATAGAAATATAGAAGAGAGAGAGAGAGAGAGAGAGAGAGAGAGAGAGAGAGAGAGAGAGAGAG